CTTTTCCTGAAGATAGAAGAGTTTGTTGAATCTGACGTGACATGTTCGTACGAACCCTTTGTTAGAACAAAAGTAAGAGGAAATTTAGGATAAGAATACAAACCTGTTCTTGCATGAGGCCCATTGTTTTAATAAATAAAGATCAGGGAGTTTTCTTTCTTAAAGAGTTCCCCTTTGATGTCACTTCCTGTTTCACTTTAGATCAGCCAAATTCAAAGGAAAATATGCAGTTATGTAACAAAATGGGTTAAATCCTGTGTTTTATGCCAAGTTTCCTAAATATGAAGATATTTTCTTTGACTTTTTGTATTTGATGGAGAGGTACGTCACAGGCAGTTTAAAGCACGACAAAAACAGAAATCATCGTCAACAAGACGCCAGCAGGACTTATCAAACCATCTGTCTCAGAGAAAACTTTAAATCTGAACCAGTTTTAAAAAAACACACAAAGATCCAAACTACACGCAGAACCGCTTTGTGACCGTCTCGCCGTGTTCTGAACTTGAAGCGGACCTTTCTCTGGGAACACTTTCCTGGCGAGCGCTCCCGTGTTTCCAAACTCAGATTCCCAGAACCTGTCCCTGAACGCGTCACGAGAAGCTAGATTTAAAGTCAACACACTGGTGGGGTTTTTGAGTTATTTCCTGGATTCCTGGCATTCAAAGTGAGTGTGAGTGTTTTTGTGACGGTGGGGGGGGGGGGGGGGGGTCCTGTAGGACCACTGAAGGAGAATCCAGCTGTCAGACAGCAGCTCAGACCCTCCCTGCTGCTGTTATGTAACTCAGCTCTGCACCAACGTCACGTTGATTTCATCTTTTATCTGCGGCTGATCGGATCAGAGGAGCTGAAATGATGGGGGGTCCCTGCAGCCGGGGGATCCCCCGGACACAAAGATTAAAGGATTAACACGTCTAAAATCCAGTTCAGACTGTAAACTATCAGTATAATTTAAGAGAAACCTGTCAATCTGTCACTTAAAGATGATTTAATAAAAGTTATGAGTTTTGTGTTTTTTTCTCTCCACATAATAAAACAGATTTCAGCTGCTCTCCTCCGTTTCTTTTACTGAACTGATTCAGCTGTAAAAGTTACCGGATCAGAGCGACTCCTCCGAGTGCTTCATATGTTCGTACTCAGCAGTGTTGGTTTCCTCTGAATCACATCTAAGTCACCGTCGGCTGAGCTTTGGGTCGGTTCGGCTCGTGAAAGGAGAAGTTTGGTTTGTTTCGTTTCGGCTTAAACCAGGTTCTTAAACAGCTGAAACATTTCCAGGACTTCTGCCTCAGAGAAAAGCTTTTTACAGATACTTGGTACTTAAAAATAAAAACAATATGTTTTGTAAACAAAACATAAAATATATTTGTCTGCAGTTAAAACTTTCTGATCTCTCAAACACAACAGGCGCAGAAAATCAAAATTATTCCTGAACTTCTGGACGATTATGAACCTTTTACTCATAAAATAAAGTTTATTTTGATAAACATTTGTAATATTATAACGCCATGCTTCAATGTTTAAACCTGAGGTGAAATGGATGAATTTGAAGAATTAACGACCGCCTTGTTTATTTTTAAACACAGCAGCACACCTGACGGTACGTTTTCAACTGGGCCACGTTTTGCTCCACCTCCAGAAAACAAAGGAAAGAAAAGAGAAACAACTAGTTTTAAACAGCTAAAATCACATTTTCTGTCTGCTCAGACGGTTTATCTTTTGGTATTTTTTACAGATTCAAATGAGGAATCTTAGCATTTGCATAAAGATAAAGATTTAAAGCAGCTCTTAGCTGAGTTTCTGTAACGTGTCGACAGAAACAGAGGTCAGAGTTCAGCAGACTGACCTTTGAAAATAAGCAACAAAAATCAACCAAAGTCCAAGAAAAGATTCAAGAACTAATTGATTATAAATTTAACCTGAAAGAAATAAAGATTTAATCAGAGGATGCTGATAAAACCACCTAAATAAAAGGTTTTCTAATCTCAAAAGTAAAAAAAAAAA